CCCCAATTGCCCTTCTTATTAAAATTGTAAAAGACCAAAACAATGCATTCATTCTTATCCCAGCTTTACTCTCAGTATTTATTGGAGGATGGGGGGACTTCAACCAAACTCAAACACAAAAAAGATACCTTACTCATCAATCGCACACATAGGTTGAATTGCTAGCATAGCCCCATTTAACCCAACAATTACTTGGCTCACAACATTAATTTACTGCTTGCTTACAAGCGCAACATTCATTAACCTACACATTTTAAAAGCTAGTAAAATTACAGCACTAACCATAAATAAACATAACCAAATCTCTCAAATATTTATGTTACTTCGCCTCTAGGAGGCCTACGACCGCTTACAGAATTCATCAACAAACTTGTAGCATCAAGCTAACTCGCTAATCAAAACATTGCTGTCAATCTATATATATAACATCGCAAACTGTCTGTTTGTCTGTCTGTCTGTGTGTGTGTCTGTCTGTCTGTGTGTCGCCGGACCATACGCAGTTTCATTGGACGAAATGTGAGGGATTTGCGAGACACGATTGGTCCGTTTGGTTTACCACGGCGGTTGCTCCTGGTTAACGGGTAGCGACGCATTCGCTGCGGGGTGGACGCCATTTTTAATTCCCGTTAAAAATATGCGCACGCATTAACACGCGACTCTGAGGTAAATTCATCAAAGTTTCACGTCCTCTTCACTCCCCCCCCCACCCCAATGTGTGCAATTACTATTATAGGGTCGGTAGATAATAAAATTATAGTGATTAAACAGTATTATTGTAACGCGGGGGGGGGGGGGTAACGGCCCCAGTACCCAGCCTCAGCCGGGTGGGCAATCTAGGCGAGGCCGGAGGCTCTGCACGGTACTAGGCCTCGACAGCCCACCCGTGTCAAGCGACGACTTTGTGGTATAAACTCGATATACCCAGCGTTGCCCGGGGGGAAAATACATATATACAAAAATACATATATTTTTGCACAGCAATTGAGCTGTGACGTCAAATCTGTCATGTGACCCGCGCATGTGGAAGCGTAACGCATTGTAGTGTCGTGGTTAGCGCGCCGCGCTACGAACCCGGCGACCCGAGTTCCATTCCCGCTCACGGCCACCACCGATGACGATTATTTGAACCGGTCCTGGGCCTCCCCTAGGTCGACTCAGCCTCAAAACGAGTAACTGGTGTGGCGTATGAATATCGCCACTGGGGAGACAAAGGCGGCTGGCCGTGGTGGATCCAAGTCCCGGGCAAAGCCGGGTAGTACAGCTAGTCTTTTTATAATAATGATAGGCTCTTTATTAAGTTTATTATCAATTATCCTGTCACCCCCCTGTCCAACAACAAACCTTATACGTTGTGCATTAAGAAAACAAGATGGAAGACGACATGGCCAAATCAGTTACAGTACAAGGCAGCACAAAGGCACGAAGCTACTTAAGAACACGGCAAGTATTAATGCGCGGCGTTGGCGGGAGAGCGGTGATGCAGGCACCTAGCCATGGCGCCTACAGCCATAAAGAGTCAGAAAAGCCTATGGAAGGGTGGATCACGGAAGCTTCTGAAGATACAAGTGAAGAAAAGAAAGATGAAGTTGATCCAGGTGATGGCATATCATTACTTTTTGGTTCTTTCGGTAAAGTCACGTAGAAAGAAAATAAATTAAGTATTTTATTTAAATAAATAATAATTCCCTTCCTATGTGACTTTACCGAAAGAACCAAAAATTAATTCGTGCAGTCACGAAAGCTCCAAATCATGCTTATCATTAGTATCATTTCCAAGGAGCAAAACCACAAGTAAACATCGCTCCGTAACTGGAGATGACTAGTTTCCTCAAAAACCTCCACAATTTGGGCACGTGTACTAGAAGAAGCAAAACACGCATCTATATTAGCCAAGGCAGCATCTTTAAAGAAGAAACAAGAAATCGAGCTCGAAGAAGTACAGCTGATGACAAAGTTTGAAGCTTAAAAGGTGCAGTTTGAGTTAGAGACTACTATTGCAGCATCCAGTGCTAAGCTCAAGGTGTTTGGAGAATGTGGACACTTTGGATGGCAGTCATAGTTATTTCAAGACGAAGACAACATCCAAAGAGCCTCAGGACCGCATGAAGAGTACGGTGACAGAGCGTTTGAGAAAATCCAGCCGGCGCATGTTATAAGAGCATACAAGGACTCGGAATCAGCTCCGACAAGAGGTAGAGAGGCTAGTACAAGTACAGCATACCACAGACCAGACCCAAGTGAACACCACCAGAGGCCTGAAAGGAACAAAATATATATTTATCAAGCAATGCAGTGTCAGAACGAGATTACAGAGACGCTTGTAAAACAGAAATACTTGTCATTCCTGTGTTCAAAAGTGACCCACTTGTCTCCAAGTCCTTCATCAGAGCTTTCGATCACACAATTGAAAGCAAATGAGTAGATAAGACAAGTTTTTTCTTAAAATCTGGAATAATTCACCAGTGGAGAACCACGAAATCTTGTGCGCAGTTGTGAACATGAGTCCAAAAAGAGGCTACCAGGAAGCCTGGAAGCTATTTCAGAAGCACTATGGTGATAAGCTAGGGGAATGAGTGGACAAAGTCTTTGACTTACTGTAGGTGCAGCTTTCTTGTACCAAAGAAGTAGGCTATGCCTTAACCTGTAGGAGCAATTAGTCTGACGTGTGTTTGATTTGTCTTGAATCAAAAACTGTTTCTTTATTTCTTGGTTGCATAAAACGAACGATTTCCAAAGTTATATCTCACCTGTCCACTTACTTTATCACACGGTAAACGACTGTCCACTGGTTCCCTCTGGTTTTCCTCCGGGCTCGAATCGTAGTCAAAAGGAAGTGACATCATGGGTTCAACCAACAGAGCGTCTAAAGGGGGATTCTAAATAGTTGGAATATTCCAAGTCAAGTATACCCAATCTTAAACAAATGTGTGACAGATGTAGATCAAATGTATACACCTAAATAATGCATTCACTTTCTGTCTTATGCCTCTTACAGTAATAGTTATATTAACTCTATAGCAGTGTGTACTGGCTATAGTAGTAGCTATACTAACTCTATAACATAACTAACTTCACAGAGTGTAGTGGAAAGGCCTAGTCCCTTGTAAAGCCCCCGGCCTCGCCTAAATTGCCCAGCCGGCTGAGGTGGCACCTTTGTAGGCTGATGCTGGGCTGCTACCCCCCCACCATCCCCCCGCCCGCTCTGCAATAATATTATCTAAGGACTATAATAGTAGTATCTACCGACCCTATAGTAGAACGTGCACACATTGGGGTGGGCAGGGGGGGAAGAGGACAGCATACTATGAAAAATTTACCTCAGCGTTGTATGTATTTTCTGTTGTTGCATTTTTAACGCGAGAATTCCACCCTCCCCCCACCGGTCGCGTGTGTGCGATGCTAGGGCGCCACCCTGTGCTCATATAAGGAATACATTGTTAATTTAACTACTTTAAACTTGACAGATGTGAAATACGGGGCATACGGTGTAGTATCCGTGAAACATATACCCCACAGTTTGTCAGTTAAAAACGTGAGAATAGGTTTTACCCGTTTTTCTGGCAACAAAACAGCAGTGTTACGATGTTACAACACCAAACTGAAATCTTTTACAAGGAATCATGTCTGCATTAACAACAATACTTGTGGTCAGAATGCAAAAAAACATACTCTGATAATGCATTGTCTTTGAAACTGATTGGTCCACACCAGCTTTATTTTGAGCATAGCCTCAAGATACTCACGCAGACAGACACACGGACGGACAGACAAAAAGTTACTTTTATATGTAAGAATAACCCGAGCATGACGTCATAGGTCACTTGACGTCAGAGACACTACCCATGTGGCTATGCCACCACAGATTGGAGAGAGATATTGGCAGCAGCTGGGGTCTGAACTTAAAGGCAGACTCCTCCCCAATGTTGAATAACATTCAATACATGTGATGTAGGGCACAATTGTGTCAGCAATCAAAACACAAAAAGTGTAGACGTCTTATTAATAATCTATGAGATTTAAACAGGTTAGTTATGAACGTTTTAAATGCTGACTCGTTTGTGTCTAAATAGCATGCCAAGTAACGTATCTAACAGTCTTAATTTTATTGCAGAAAATAAATATACCAACCAATAAAAAAAATCATGAAGCTTTAGTTTGTGGCCAAAATGTTAAGTAAAAATAAACAACACACATTGTCAACAGGGACGCTCACCTCGTTGAGGATTCGTTCTCCAAAGGCTTGTGCTGCTGCTCCCTCGTGCGAATTCCTCTGTCGGCGTAGGCGTGGCTATGACGTAACATGGATGACGTCTCTACCGACAGGCTCCGCCCCCACGCGCCCGGTTGCCGCACCACGTGGTGCAGTGTGGTGGTAAACGTGAGTGGACACAACAGGGGCCTTGGTTCTAAATTCAACATTTGCCCCCTCACTTTGTGCTGTTTTTGATGTCGCCGTTCCTGCGGCGAGGACTGCAGCAGTGCCTGGCCGTCAGGCCTGGCATATACCTGGCCTCAGGCTTCATATTCGTTAATGGTTATTTTAATATAATTGGAATGATTAACTTGTATTTCATACATTAAATTGCAAGCATATGAAAAACATCTCATTGGTATATTTACTTTTAAATGCAGGGTTTTATTATTAATCTATGTAGTTATGTTTAAGTTACAAGGTGGTAGTACTACGTGTGAATTTTAGTCACATGTTGATTATTGTGTAATGGATTTGTATGTGTGCACCTATCTTGGCAGGGGTAATATGGGCTTTTTAGTGTTAAGTCTTCAAAGAGATTGCTTATTTGTGTGTGTCGGTTGTTTGTCTGTGTCAGGTTACATATCTATGTTTGTACCTGTGTGTGATGCTGCCGCCACGAAGCCGTTCAGCAGCCGCCCCATCTACGACCTCGCCACCACCAAGTGACGGAGCCGACCCCGCGTCCCCCTCACCTCACCTCACATGAACACACCCGCATGCATTTCCCCCCCCCCCCCCCCATAGAGCTCCGAGGGGAGGTCACCTGACCGACCGGTTTTTATCCGAGAAACCCTTATCAGGATTAACTTTCACGGTTTCCGGCGACCAGGGAATTGGACGACCTCCCCCGACGCTACGTTGCACCGCGGCGCTGCGACCAGCCTTAAGATGGTATGGTCGCGGCGAAGGGCATTCGGCCACCGCGGTTGAAACGCATCCCCCCACACACACCCCCACGGGTCGACGAGACAGGCAGAGGATGGACGGGGCGGCATAGTTTAGGGTGCGCAATTGATGGAGCAGGGAGGGACTTCGGGGACCAGCGGCCCCAACAATATGGTGTCAGAAGTCGTACGAACCCTCACGTCTTCACGGGAAGGTAGCGCGTTACTCCACGCAAAGGTAAGGCATGTGTTCACCGGCCAGGGGACCCCTACATGGAAAGCGTTTTCCCGCAATATCATAGGGGCTAAAGAGCTTAATGGCTGGTCGGACGCGCAGGCGTTACGACATCTTACGTTGAACCTGGATGGGCGGGCAGCCGACTTTGTAGAGATACTACCCGAAAGCGCGCAAACCCAACTAGAGGAACTAATGCGTAGATTAGATCGGCGTTTCGGCACGCGCCGACGCCAACCTGGCGAGGACTTCCGAGACTACGCCGAGGACGTGCGATCAGTAACCCAGATCGCCCGTCCAGAGTTCGCGAAGGAGGTCATTGACGCGCTAGCTGCAGACAAGCTACTCAGGTACCTAGCTCGCACCGCGTGGTGGCAGCCCAAAAGGGGTAGCGCAGGCCTCCCCTTCGATACCCTAGTCGAGCAAGCACTCGAGTGTGAGGAGCTCTCCAGCGAACGTGCGCAGCTCCGAGGGTCGGGACAGAAGTGCACCGTGGCGAGCCTGATCCCTGACGAGGATGAGGAGGAGCCCGCCAGCCCAATAAGGAGACGGCCAAGAGAGCCCCAGAGACCAAGCGAGACAACCCCGGGGTGGGTAGCCGGGTTACAGACCGGCATGGGAGATATTGCTGGCCGGGTAGACCATATGGGCGGTAAGGTAACCCAAGTAGGTGAGAGGATAACCCACGTAGACGATCAAATGAGCCGAAATATGACCAAGCTACAGTCTACCGTTGAGACTGAGATGGGAGAACTATGCTCGACAGTGGGGGGGCTGGCCGGGAGGGTAGCCCAATTAGAGTCCGATATGGGACAACGGCGTACAGGGAGAGGGAGCAGGCAGGGGGCCCACTACGGAGCCGCCACCCCTCCCCGGACGTGTTATGTGTGCGACCGTCGAGGGCATCTCATGAGAAACTGCCCTCAGCTCGCCCGTGCGAGGCAGATGCATAGGTCAAACACTAAGGCCCCCCTAGAGAGGGGACCACCGAGGGATGAAATCGACGTAGCCCCGACCCAAACAAGCTGTAATGATAATGGCGAGCGAGTGATCTCCACGCAGATTCCAGCAACGACACCAAGGAACGCGGCGACTCCTGGCGACAGGCTGCGGGAGCTGGTGGCGGGAATCACGGGGGCCACGTCGCTGGTGGAGGGGCAGGTCAAAGGACGCCGTACCCAGATCTTGCTGGACACGGGGGCGGTGGCCTCGCTCGTGAGCGCGGCGCACTGCAGCATGATCGGGGTCGATGTGAGCCGCCTGCAGGCCCCGGACCGTGCGCTGCACACGGCGAGCGGAGCCGGAATGGGGCTGCTGAGGAGAGCCACCCTAGAGGTCCGCATAGGCAGCCAGGTGTGCACCCAGGAGTTCTACATGTCGAGTGTGTTGTGTCACGAGTGTATTGCAGGTACCGACCTCCTAGAGAAGCTGGGACTCAACGTGCAACCCCGCCAGCGATGCGCCACCATGGAGAGCGTTCCTGGGACGAGAACCGACGCGCCCCCACTTCACACCTGTGGCCGCTATCCTGGCGACGGCAGTCACCATCGGGTCGCTCACCGAGATGCTGGTGCCGGTGGCAACATCCCCCACCGACCCCGCGCTCCAACCATCAGGGGAGGTAATGCTAACTCCTCACCTGGAGTTGGCAAAACGGTATGGGGTCGTGGGATCCGCCACGTTGGTAAATGCAGATGGGGACCGATTGTTTATGCGGATGTTTAACCCCCACAGTGCCCCAGCGATACTGCGACAGCGCACCCCGATAGCTACCGTACACCCCCTGCATGCATGCCACTCTAACGACTCGGTGTCGCACTCTGGGCTGAGGACCCCGGTCGTCCTGAGGGTGACCAGGACCTGGCCTGGCGAGTCGGCCCGACTCCCCGAGCCGAGGTCGTTCCCCTGCTCGACGCGTTACATGTACCATGGGCGAATTTACCTAAGGGAGAGGCCGATCGGCTGCGCGAGTTACTGCGGGAGTATGCCGACGTGTTCAGCGAACACGACTCGGACGTGGGTCGGACCGACCTTGTTAAGCACCAAATTGACACCGGTGCAGCCCGACCCATCAAACTCCCTGCGTACCGAGTGGGCGCACCCGAACGCACCCATATCAAAGAGGCTTCGCGATAACATAATTCAGCCCTCGGCGAGCCCCTGGTCAGCCCCAGTGGTACTAGTAACGAAAAAGGATGGGTCAACCCGGTTCTGCGTCGATTACCGTAAACTGAACGCAGTCACGCTCGGCGACGCCTTCCCCATACCCCGCATCGACGACACGTTTGACAGCCTCGCCGGAGCGCGATATTTTTCCACCCTCGATCTCGCGTCCGGGTACTGGCAGGTGGAGATGGCAGAGGAGGATCAGCCGAAAACCGCATTCACCACCCCGATGGGACTATTCGAGTTTCGAGTACTCACGTTCGGACTCACCAATGCGCCCGCGACGTTCCAGCGGCTGATGGAGTTGGTGATGCGGGGCTTCCAATGGGAACAGTGCCTGATTTACTTGGATGACGTGATCGTGTTCAGTAGATCTTTGTCTGAGCACTGGTCCAGGCTACGAGAGGTGTTCCAGCGACTGCGAGCGGCTCATCTCAAGCTCAAGCCACGTAAGTGTTACATCGCACAATGCGAGGTGGGGTACCTCGGGCACCGCGTCAGCGAGGCAGGCGTGCACACCGATCCGGAGAAGGTACGCGCCGTAGTGGAGTGGCCACGGCCAAGGAATCTGACGGAGATCAGATCATTTTTAGGGCTCGCCACCTATTATCGTCGATTTGTAAAGGGATTCAGTGAGATTGCATGCCCCCTCACCCAACTCACCTCCCCTAAGCACCCCTATCAGTGGACGGGGGCCTGCCAGACGGCCTTCACCACTCTCAAAGATCACCTCACCCACGCCCCCACCCTCGCTTTCCCCGATCTTACCACCGATTTTATTTTGGACACCGACGCCTGCAGCAGCGGGCTGGGCACGGTGTTGTCACAGGTACAGGATGGGACAGAACGAGTCATCGCATAAGCCAGCCAGACCTTGAGTGGGGCCGAGCTGAACTATTGCGTGACCCGCCAAGAGTTGTACGCCGTGATTTTCGCATGTAAGCAGTTCCGGCCTTATTTATACGGCAGGAAATGTCGCGTACGCACTGACCATTATGCTCTGCAGTTTCTTATTACATTCAAGGAGCCGCGGGGGCAGATGGCCCGGTGATTGGCGCAGTTGCAGGAGTACAATCTGCAAATCGAGTATCGGGCTGGCCGGATGCATGCAAACGCGGACGCCTTGTCGAGGCGGCCCACGGTGTACGCCGAGACAAGGGCGGAGGAGGCCTGCCCGTGTTTCACGGGGTGACTCGCGGGACCCACGGCTCGGGACCCGGCGGATCACCCCGCCCCGATCGGACGGATCCAGGAGGATGTCGGCTGCGCCTTCCCGGGCCTGAACGACGAGCAGCTGAGACAGACCCAGCAGCGGGATCCGGATCTGGCGGCAGTGGAGGCGGCACTGCGGGAGGAAAAAAGTGCCCTACCAGGACCCTGGAGCGGTTTGTATGGCCGGTTGTGTGTGCAGAACGGGGTGGTACGGGAGTTAACCGAGGCCTGCCAGCCAGGGTGCATCTGTGTTCCTGCCCAGGTACGACCCCAGCTGCTACGGCTGGTGCATGATCACCCGCTCGGGGGCCATGACGGGGAACGACGCACTCGAGAGACCCTGTGTCGCCAGTATCTCTGGCCCAAATTGGCACAAGACGTGGCCGCCTGGGTACAGGGCTACCGCGCCTGTCAGCAGTGCGGGCCGAAACCGGCACGATACCAGGTACCCCTAAGGCCGTTCCGTGTCAGCCGCACGAATCAGCTGGTCGGGATCGACCTACAGGGGCCATTCCCGCGATCCCATCGAGGCAACCGGTATATCCTAGTCGCAGTAGAGTATTTCACCCGCTACCCCGTGGCAGTGGCCATCCCTGATAAAACGGCCTTGGTGGTGGCCCGGGCATTCGTGGAACATTACGTACTTAAGCACGGGATCCCAGAATGAGTCCTCACCGACCAGGGTAGCGAGTTCGAGGCCGAGCTGTTCCAGGTACTGTGCCGAGAATTCGGAATCCAGAAGGACCGAACCACAGCGTACCGCCCCGAAGCGAACGGTATGGTAGAGCGCATGAATCAGACCCTAGCGGGGAAACTCAAACGTATGGCGGCCGCAAATCAACGGGATTGGGACGAACACCTCCCCTACGCCCTTTTCGCCTACGCCACCACCGTACACACTTCGACGGGACAAACCCCGTTTTTAATGATGTTCGGCCGTGAGTCTCGTTTACCCGCAGATCTGCTATTCGGCGTTCCTTCCCCCCAGCCGGAGGAGGGAAGCCGCCCCGTGGAACACCTGTTGGAGACCCTGCGAGAAGCCCGAGGCCGAGCATACCCGCAAGGGGAAGCCGCGCATCGGCCGCAGGAACAGGGCACCCGACCCCGCATGGAACCCCCCTTATTCCTGACAGGCGCTAAGGTATGACTACACACCCCTCGCGTCGGGGCCGCGCAGGTGGGGAAACTGACAACCTACTGGCGGGGACCCTGGACCGTGGTGCGGCAGATCTCCCCCTGGATGGTACTAATCTATGGCGGGGAGAGGGGTCGAGAGACGGTGGTCAACGTCCGCCGCTTAAAACCGGGCACGCGCGCCCATTGTTAAAGAAACTGGAAGGGGAGCGACGACAGGCGGAGCAACATCCCTTTGATGTAGGGAGGATAAAAAGGGGGCGGAAAGGGGAGATCTCTCTCTTACTCCAGGACCAAGGCGACAGGACGCTCGCCAGCCCAGCGACCCGGACGTCCGTGAGACGCACTGAGGTACGCTGTGAGCAGGGGATCAACGGACCGCCGTGAGCACCTAGCAGTGAGTAAGAAGGTGAATATGGATCGTAGCCGATAAATAGGGAATAGGTCCAGGGGTAGTAGAATAGGCCAGCCTCGTCGATTCATACTGACTCAACAACCAATCCCAGGTAGCAAACAATAAATCCTTAATAGCTGATCGTGTCACCGTGTGATCTCGCTGAGAAGTGTGAGCGTGTGTGGTGCTGTGTACACAGCGGCTCGCCACGCGGGAGCGCTGCGTAGAGCGGCGCACAAGTGGGTGTCGCGTGTGTGCAGGTGTGTGCGCTCGTAGCGTGGGGGAAGGGATCGGCGCGTCCACAGGTACCAGTTTCGTATATCGCCGCAGGGATTCGCGCGGTGTGAGGGCAGCGTCGTTCGCCCTCCGACCCCTGACCCCCATTTAGAGCGCGTGATTTATGGAGAGACAACGCAGCATTTACAGGTGAACGAGAGCGTGCGGTGAGCTATGCCCCTCACACGAGCTCGCGGAGGGACGGACCAGGGAGGGGAGCCGTCGGGCGAGGAGCCCAGCGACAGCAGCAGCTGCTCGCAGAGTAGCGAGGGGTCGGCGAACAGCGGAGCCCCTGCCATAGGCATGGAGCAGGGAGGGACTTCGGGGACCAGCGGCCCCAACATGTGTGTGTTTGTTATTTTATGATGGGAGGTGATGGTGATGTTTCTTGATAATGGATGGCGGTGATGATGATGGGTGGTAGTGATGATTGGTGGTGATGGGTGGTTGTGATGATGGGTGGTGATTGATGGTGGTGATGGGTGGTGATGATGGCGGGTGGTTGGTGGCATTGATGATAATGATGATGGTTGATGATAATGGGTGTTCATTATAATGGGTCATGGTGTTAAAAGGTGGTTGATGATGGGTGGTGATGATGGGTAATGGGTGGTGATGATGGTGGCTGCTGATTATGATGGGTGGTGATAGGTAGTGGTGATTATGATTGGTGGGTGGTGGTGATAATCGGTGGTGATGGGAGGTGGTGGTGATGGGTGGTGATTATGAACATTGGTAGTGGTGATGGTTGGTGATGATGGGTGGTTATTGATGGTGGTGATAATGGGTGGTGTTTGTGGGTGGTGGTGATGGGTGGTGGTGATGGGTGGTGGTGATGGGTGGTGGTGATGGGTGGTGGAGATGATGGGTGATGATGGGTGATGGTGATGTTGGGTGCTTGGTGGCGATCATGATGGTTGGTGATAAAATATCGGTGTTGATGCTGATGATGGATGTTGATTGCTATGGGTGGTGATGACGATAGGTGATGATGGTGATGATAGGTGGTGATGATGATGATGGGTTGTGGTGATGATGGGTGGTGATTATGATCGGTTGTGATTATGGGTGGTGGAAATAATGATGGGTAATGGGTGGTGGTTATGATGCGTGGGTGGTGGTGGTTGTGGTTGGTGGTGATTGGTGCTGGTTGGTGGTGGTGGGTTGAGGTGGTGGGTGGTTGTGAGTAGTGGTGGGTGGTGGTGGGTAGTGGGTGGTAGTTGGTGGTGGTTGGTGGTAGTGGGTGGTGGTGGGTGGTGGGTTGTAGTGGGTGGTGGGAGGTGGTGGGTCATGGTAGTTGTGGGTGGTTGGTGGATATGGTGGTGGGTATTGGGTGGGTGCTGGTGGGTGGTGGTGGTGGTGGGTGGTGGTGGGTAGGTGGTGGGTGGTTGTGGGTGGTTGGTGGTTGTGGGTGGTTGTGGGTGGTGGTTGTGGGTGGTGGTGGTTGTTGGGTGGTTGTGTTGGTTGTTGGTGGTTGTTGGGTATGGTCGTGGTCGTTGTGGTGGTTGGTCGTGGTTAGTGGGTAGTGGTTGGTGGATAGCGGTGGTTATAGGATATGTGAATAGGGGTGCACGTTTTATAAACACCAAAAGTGTAATGTCAAACAGCACTACCATTCACAAATAAATTGTGCATTTCCGACATTATACACTCTCTCCTCTCTTTGTCTCCCTCTCCTCTGTCTCCTATGTCTCTATCTCCTCTGTATCTGGTTGTGGGTGGTGGGTTATGGCGAGTGGTGGTGGCTGGTGAGTGGGTGGTGGCTATGGTGGTGGGTGGGTGCTTTTGGGTGGTGGTGGGTGGTTGGTGGCTATGGTGGTGGGTGGTGATGAGTGGTGGTCGACGGTGGTATGCGGTGGTGGTTGGTTGTTGGGTGGTTGTCGTGGTGGTTGGTGGTGGTTTGTGGGTGGTCGTGGTTGGTGGTGATTTGTGGGTGGTGGTTGGTGGGTTGTGGTTGGCGTGTTGTGGTGGTGGTTGGTGGGTTGTGTTGGTTGGTGGATGATGATTATGATGTGTGGTAGTGATGAAGATGATGGGTGGGAGTGATTATGGGTGGTGATTATTACGAGTGGTAATGATAACGGGTGGTCATCACGATGGGTGGTTATTGATGGTTATAGATGATGATAATGATGGTTGGCGATGATAATACTGGTAGGAACCTCCTGGTTCCACCAGCCCACAGGGGATTATGGTGTCCGTCCGTCGTGCATCCAAAAATGGGAGGGGTGGGGTTGGGTGGAGAGGAGAGGGTGGGGCTGGGTGGGGAGGGTGGGGCTTGTGTGGAGGGGAGGGTGGGGAGGGGCTGGGTGGGGAAAGTGGGGAGGGGCTGGGTGGGGCTGGGTGGGGGGTGGGCGGCGTGGGACTGGGTGGGGAGTGGCTGGTCACACCGTGGTGCCCTTATAAAACTCAACATTTAACCTACTTACGCCGAAGTTTCTCCAGCACACGCTGGGCCAGCTCGTCATCACGATGGCCGAGGTGGAGAGTCGCGCACCCACACCGGCTACGGGGTTCGACGGGCCGCGCGGGGTTCACACTCAATCATCTCCCGCCCAATTTGAGGTTCGCACCAACCCACCGGCGGGCGCGCCGTAGGACTTGGGCGCCGCGCACAACCCGGCGGCCATGTTATATGCATCGCCGGAGTCGGCCACCATGACCACTGTCATGGCCGTGCCCATTAACACCGCTGCTACGGCCGTCGCCGCCGGTGCGAGCGTGGCTGCGCTGTGCACCGCGACTGCAGTTTGCGCCGCGGATACGGCTGTGGCTCCCCAACTCGCCGCGGCTTCCCGGCTGGACAAGGGGCCGGAGGCGAACCATCGGCCCAACGTTGCTGCTGCTGCCATGGCGACGGCGTCGGGCAGGGCTGGAGGTGAGTGGCCGCCGGGTGGGTTGACGTGGAGGCGGCAGCTGCACCGGTTGCCCCCTGTCGCGCCATTCACCGCAAAGGGGGGCGATTGGCTCGATTTCCAGGCCCGTTTTGAGGTGGCCTATGAGTCGGTAGGGTGGCCCATGGAGGAGGCGCCCTCAACGCGCGGATGTTGCAGGCTTACCGGAGCATCCCGCCGGCTGACAGGGCGATGCTCCAGGCAGCTTGTCAGCAGATGGCCACTGTATTTGAGCCGTCGCCTCAATTTCTACACGTGCCGGCGGGAGGAGGGGGAGCCGCCCTTGGCGTTTAGGTGCTCACTCCTGGCACTGGCTAAAGCCACCTACCCCAACCTGGAGGGGAGGGGCTTGGACTCCTCGCACGGCCGCTCTCTTCACCTCACGCACCTAGACGGGTTGGGGTCCATCCTCATGGGGTCATCTCTAAGGGGTCGGACTCGTGGGCCGCGCGGTCGTGCACATCGGTTGGGTGGCTGTTGTATGTGTTGGAATTATGAAATTTTAATGAAAATAATAAAAATTAAAAATTTTCCGAAAAATGCGCAAATCGCATTAATTATGTTAATGTGTGTATTACTATGCATAAATTATGATAATGCGTGTAATTATATGCATAAATTATGATAATCACGGAGATAATCGTAGTAATTTATGCGGAGGCTTGCGATTATGTTAATGTGTGCAGTTATGATAATTTGCTTAGTTTCGTTTATCCAGAGTTATCAATCAGGATAACACGATTATCATAGATTCATTTACCGATGATCCTAGTGTGTGTTATAATATTTTAGGTCTCCATTTTCATATCTCATCGCAGGTAACAGCTCTTATGAATAAGACAGTTTTGCATGGACTTGGAAGGAACACTCGATATGCTTCTGTGATAACAATTTTATTCTAACAAACACGTGGCATTCTATCATGCAGGTCAAACATGCGTCAATAATTCATGAATAACCAAACACTTATGTATTTGCGATATCATGCATTCGATTAATATGAATAACTAAAATTCTTATGCAATTACGAGACTATGCATTTGACTAAAATGAATGACTCAAAACTCTTATGCATTTAACGAACTGAATGACTAAAAACCCTCCTAACAACCAGGCATCTCATTAGTTCGTTTTTTTTTATCGATCACAATCGGCGACTGGCCGAGTTTGAAACAAGCATGACACACTTCATTTTGCGGTAATAAAAAGCACTTATTGTATCCCAGAGGCGAAAGTGTATGTATATACTGGTGGGTGAGGGCGTGTTGCGGGAGAGCTAATCTGGCTCTGTTTTAATTAATTCTTCGCCGAGACTCTTTGACAAAGGAACTGGTTTGACAAGATTTTCTCTGTTTCCTTGAGTCTGTATGTGGGGAGCGATACGACCTCTCTGCTGTCTGTGCGAGCGGCAGCTGAGACTTTCTCCGCTGTGATGTGAGCGGCGGCGCTCGTTCAGAAGACTTTGACTCTTTTTCTCCACGGCGGGATGACGAGTCGGTTTTGGTTGATGCTGGTCGATCTGGGTGTCGCTCGTTGTCGCTCGGTGGCGCACGGTGGCGCACGGTGGCGCACGGTGGCGCAAGGTGGCGCAAGGTGGCGCACGGTGGCGCACGGTGGCGCACGGTGGCGCACAGTGGCGCTCGTTCAGCGATCTCCGCCTTTCCTGCGGGTTGTTCGCTGGTCGTCACTCTGACGAGGAGCGATGCTTCGTTCGTGGCAGGGTGGACGTTGGCGTCTTTGTTGGCTTCACTCGCAGCTCGGCGACACAGGGTAGCGATTCTTCTCAGGTGGTGCAGACCTCGGCTTGTAGCTGCGCGTCGCTACTCCGCGAACCTCGTCATTCTGGATGACGAAAACTTCTTCGTTGTCGGCGTTGAGATGAGATGGGGCCCGTGGCCCGGACGATGCGGTAGGCCCGAAGCCCTGGCGACGAGATGGGGCTCAGAGCCCTGGCGATCTGCTTTGTATGGATTTTCCTTCGGTTTATATCTGGAAATTCCACTCAGTTTCCCGAGTTGTTCAAAGCCTGTCATAAAACATTCCTGTGGGTGTGAACCATCTGCGTTCGTGTGTGTGTGTGTGTGCGCGTGTCCGTCCGTGTGTTTCGCGTGCGTGTTTGTCCGTGTGTTTATTAGCTTTGAAGACACAGCTGTGTGTTGTTCTGGAAGAAAGGGGTGGGGAGGGGGCCTCGTGACGGCGCCACCTAAGTTTATCCATTAACCAGACCGATGATTCGCGTTCGCATTGAGTTATATAAAAAAAGTATTCGAATCCATGTTTTCATTACTGAATAATATTTGTCGCGAAAACCTACGCGTTAAGCGAGCTTAATTATTCCCTCCCTTGCTCGGGGATCATATCTTTTGTCTCACACAGCTTAAGTTGTTTTTGGTTTGGAAGTTGAAATGCGACTTATTTCCATTATGCCCAGTTATGCCGAAACCGTGTTCACGATGTTTCATCGTGACCCGATCTCCCATGGAAATGTTATTTCCTCGTGTGTGCAATTTTTGCTGTCCGTGTTGTGGGGAGACAAAGACGGTTGTTTCCACGGTGGGAGCACCCGGCGCATGCTTTTATTTATTTATCTTCGAAGACGTGTTAATTTCCTTTGAGCCATTGCCCCTTTTATGGGTGTCATTTCCTAGCTTTGTGCCTGCGTGTGGAGATCCTCTCGGAAAGACAAAGATGGCCGTGTTGCTCGCTTTCATGCCCTCTTTCCTTTGAAATGAGGTGTGCGCACATCTGTGGTAGTGTGGGGGCGTGTTCGTTCCCACGTTGCCGCGTCTATTAAAAAAAACGATATTATCTATGTTGGCAGAATAATTCTTTAAAAAAATATTTAAAAAATTAAAAAGGGGGTATATACACAACAGTCCGCCCGTTTGAAAATTATCAGGGGTCGATTTGGCCACTGGCGAATTTTCAAACAAAGTAATGCCCCCTTTTTATGTCATGCATCCCATCAGCCGCCCTTACTCTCGGCGGTTACTTCTTACGATGCGCGTGCACGTATTATGATTTTAACCTGGTTACATTTGAATTAGCAAAGGAAATAACAACCGTTAAACATCGACATTGCGTTACATCGGTTCTCATACATCATAACTCCGACGAATATTCATTTTTGTTTTTGCTTAACATGGTTACATTTGAATTAAGCAAAGAAAATAACAACACGTTAAAACATCGATATCACCAGTTACATGGTTCTCATACATCATAACTCCGACGAATTTCATCTTTGTTTTTGCTTAACATGGTTACATTTGGATTAAGCAAAGAAAATAACAACACGTTAAAACATCGATATCATCAGTTACATGGTTCTCATACATCATAACTCCGACGAATTTTCATTTTTGTTTTTGTTAAATCCTGGGAAACGCTAGGTAGCGGTTTCGAACGCATTTATGCGTTACCTTCCTCATGTTGCCTGGTTTACCGCTTATCACTTTGATAATTCGATCACGGTTTTCGGGTTCGTTTTTGTAGTTTCCACTCTCACTCTCTCGCGTCGTGGGAGTGTGTGGTGAAAAATTGTGCTGCACATAACCAGAATTCGCGCACACGACCCACTTTGACACTTGGTTCGTGGCATTCGCTCTCTCTGCGATTACATGCACATTTGCCGAGTCAGTGTGTCGATTTAATTCTGTGCCTCGTAATGTTGCCCTCTTTGTTTTTACGAGTGTGTTAGATTCCAACACCATTCCCGATATGTCATGAACATTCGTCTCCATTTAGCACTCCGATCCGCGTAAATTTTTGTTTCCCTTGGATATTTTTCATTCAAAGGCTCACGCCTGCGCTCCTCAGGGCGTGTCTCTGTGTTCTCTCTTTGTCTCTGCTGTCTGCTATCCACCGTCCGATCACACTTCAATTCAGCCCTGTTACTTGCAGCCTGCTTGTATTTCCCAATGAGGCCAGGGTTTAACAAAACTTCAGCGTGCGTGGCGCGTATGGGCTGCCCGCTCTCAATTACTGTGGATGGTTCCTCACGTATTTGGACCGCATTCTGTGTTATTCCTCTATTCCCTCCTGGTATAGCCGGTGGAGGAATTGGTCGTAATTGGACTGATTGTGTTTGACCTCCCATCCTGCGATTCTCGTACATTTTTGGCCCAGTGTTACTCCCATTTGGGTGCCAAATTTTTCCTGGATTGTTACTTCGCCATCTTTGTGGGTAATTTTGACCTTGTGTATGTCGGGGCATGGGGTGTTGATATGGTTCTGCCCTTAGCCTCCACATTCTGCGATTCTCCCGAATGTTCGCATCCATACCTCCGCAGTCTGTGTACCTTCCCGCTGGATGGTTATCTCGCCATCTTTGTGCGCAACTTTGGCCTCGTGTGTGTCGTGGCATGGGGTGTTGATATGGTTCTGTTCTGAACCTCCCCCTCCTGCGATTCTCCTGAATGTTCGGCTTTGTGCCGCTCTCATTCTCGTGCCAACCCCTCTCTGTGTTATTTTGCCATGTGTGCGTGCGTTTTTGCTCCTCCCTGCATCGTGGGACTGCTCGGTGATTTTTATTTCTCTCTGAGAGGCTGGGTTCCTTATCCCTCTCACTGTGTTCTGGATCCGAATTATGATTCTTAGCTCTGTATAACCATGTCATGTACGCCTTGCTCTCTATGCGGCGTAGGGATGCGGTTTCTGGATTCAAAACCATCCTCACCCTTTCTGTAATCTCTGGGCTCAAGGATTCAAAAAACATAATTTTGAACATTTTATCTCCTTCGTGGTATTGATTCACATCGCCTGCGTAATACGCTCTTTTAAATTGGACGAGGTAGTCACGTGGATCTTGGTCCATGCCCTGGGTCATCGATTTTACAGCATAAAACCCCTCAGTGAGTGTCGAATATTCTCCAAACTTCCGAATCACTGCCAGGCTCAATTGTTTAAAATCATTTCTAACCTTGTGTGGTAGTGACTTTACCCATGGGATAGATTCTTTATGTAAGGTCCGTTTCAACAAACT